GTGGAAAATGGACATTATTGATTCCTGCGGCCCATTGTTCCCCCACCCCGAGTCCCTGAAGTTCAAGTTCAATCTGGAATTACATCATGTCTGGTTTCTCCTGGTTACCAGACGGCTTGAGACGTGACCACAGCTACAGAAAAAACAAACAGCCTTCTTCACGCTTCGGCTCCCCTATCGATTCAAACGTAAACTTTTTTTCTTTCTCTCAAGTATGCTTCAAGTATGGAGCATGGTTAATTTAGAGATTAAGTTCCAAATTAGATTATCTAATGGCATCTTAATGGATTGCTGACCCATTTCCTGTGGGATGGCAGCATGCAGGTCTGGCTGGAATACAATTAATTTCTTAGGAAGTGTTCTGAAGAGTTTGCCTGGATAAAAAGGAAACGACATGTTGTACAAACCTTTCTTTATTATGGGCAAAGTTAGCCAAAAACTACAACAAATCCCAATATATTTTCCACAGCCAAATTGGAGATATTGTGGGCCTGAAAATATCATTTCTAAGAAAGGTAATGTCTTAAGCTTTGATTGTGTAACAGGTGCAAATGATTTTTACGAGAATGGAGAGCAATTCTGTTCCCGAGAATGTTCACGCACACAGAGCAGGGCTGGTTAGCAGCTTTTATCAAGCAACGGCTCTGTGCAGTTCTGCGATTCTCTGTCATGAACCGAAGATTCTTGCATTCATCTACCTTATCAGCGTTTCTCTCACAGTCCCTGAGTAGTGCTAGGGGTCCTGAATGATGGCGAGAAAGTTGAACATTCTAAACACACTTTAGAGCTAACAGCTGAAAAGGAAATTCAGCACTCTGAGGATAAAGCTCCCCCCAGGAACTGCAGGAACAACCCAGCTGTTGTACTCTAGTTATGTGTCAAGATAACAAAGTGAGAGCAGGAAACGCTAACCTAGTGAATTCGCAGGGAGGGTCTAACGCGAAGGCTGAAATGAAAGTTAACTCTTAATTCCACCTGATGACAGGATACAGACTGGCCTTAACATGACATGTTACCTATCTGTGGATACACACAAGCACATACATGTGCATACCAATGTGTCATTTGCCACCCAACATTGAAAATTACTTTTGTTTAAATATTCACCATAAAATTTTTGAGAGCTTACATTTCACAAAGAAAATGCTACGAACAAAGCAAAGAAAATGGTAAATGGCTGCGGGCAGAGCCACGCAAATAGTTCTATGCGTGAAATAAATGCCCTGGCCGCTCGCTTTCTGCCCTCCCTCTTCTGGCCAGCAAAATCCAAATAACCTTTACTGGCTGCTAAATTTCTCTTGGGAAATCAAGAAACTCTCCAGGATTGCAGTAATAAACGACAATTTCTTACAAAAACATGTGTAAAGTAACTACAGAATGAAGTATTCAACTCACAGAAAGGAACTGCTAACACATGTAACATGGAAAATAGCTGATAAAAGTCTCTTTGGTGCCATTCAATTATGGCACCAGCAGAAACACAAAAATCCTTCCAATTATTTCAGTAAAATCTTCATTTATTCATTATTTCAGAGGCTGAGCAAATGGTTTGTGTAAACATATCCTTCAGTAACACGCGCATGTTTATTTTAGCCATCTGAAGGCTGCTTCGCTGTTTATGGAAGCCATCAGACACACAGCCACTCACTTGTGGCTTCGCATTTCCCCGAAAGGGGTAAAGGGGGAGAGGGGAGAATGCAACAATAAATCCAGTTTCTCTTTTGCATAAAGCATTCACTCCAACGTTTTAAAATAACTTATGTTTATATTATTCTTGGACTGTCTTCCAGCTTCTTTTTCATTCAATTATACTGCTCTTTCATATGTGATAGCACCAGTAAGGTTCTGGCTATAGTTTCAAGAAAAAAAGCCAGTTGGGGAGGAACTACCTTGTGTGTTTATACCCACATAACTCACACAGGCAAAAACAACATAATCTGTCCACACAACAGGACACAGTACAAACAGTGCCTCGTTCAAGCAATCTGTCACCTGCTACCCAGCCACGCGCTGAGCCCATCCCCCTGAAGCAGAGGTGAGGCCTTCAGCCAGCGCACCACGTGGCTGGGTCGCTGACCTTCTGCCTCGGCAGATGACTTCATTTTTGCACAGTGCAACCACTGCACGTGAGAAGCACAGGGCAGGGCAAAGGCACGAGCAAGGCACACGGGAAGCAACACCACCAACACGACTCTGCAAGTCTGTAAATCCTTCCCGAGAGAGCCAGCCATGGCTCGGCAGGAACTGTGCCTGTACTGGACACAGGGGAAGGCAGGGAGTGCAGCTCTGGTGACGGAGCCCGCTCAGCTCCCCAGGCCCTGCTGCTCTCCATGCCCTGCATGGAGACCCTGGATGTGCAAAGCCCTCCAGAGGGCAACAGGATCAATCAGGAGAGGAGACAACCATGGGAAGGGAAGCCACAGTGAACAGCAAACGATTCAAGCAAAATCCAGCCAAACCAGAGCATCCGCTCAGCTTTGTCCTTCTCACCTATAAAGTCTCTAGGGATTGCCTGTTGTCAAAAACAAAAAAATAACAGACACAATAATGATCACCGCTGATACTTTATTTCATCTTGCTGAAGGCAAATTATTTCATTTTCTGGCTGAGAGACCTACATGCTGCAGATATTTCCAACTCAGTGACATGATCCTAGCACTATAACCATATCCTTGAAGATTCTGGATGGCCTCTCTTAGAAATGGCAGAGCTGCAGACAGCAAGGCTTTCTTTTCAATACAGTATCTACAGAAAAAACCATTAAATTTAAAAACAACTGTAGAGAAGAAAGTATAAATAATACATAAAGTCCCTGTGCCACAGACCTGGCTTAGGTGTGCTATATAACATGGGTCGTGTCCACTTTTGAAAACAGTGACAAAGCAAAGCCAACTGCTGTCTGAGCTGAATATATTTATTCTGACGCCTAACAGCTAAATTGTGCAGCCATGTGTTTCTGTGTCCACCACAGCATCCAGCACCCCAGCACTGGAACTCTGTAGACACCTGTGGAATGTGCAGGCGACACCTGCGTCATTAGTTGTGCGTCTTCTGATCCATGATTAAAAGGTAAGAAACAAAGCCAAGCTGCCTTTGTAAGAGTTTTCTGAATTATTAGGGTCATTCTACATTTATTATTTATAATTCAAAGAAAAAGCAATACTTCTAGGAAGAAGTAGAAAAAGAGATCTTAATCAGTTCTGAGTCTTTTTTGACTCAGACCTCACATTGACGGCCACACCTGCTGCCAAGAAGGGCCCCGGCAGCACGAGCGGAACGAACCTAGAGCTGCGCTGGGGCACCACATTCTTTTGCCTACCTGTTCTGTGACGCATTGTCCACTCTCCTCCGCTTAAGAGGTATCAATTTTTGATTAAAAAAAATTACTAGCTCTATTTTAAATTTCCAATAATTTACATCATTATTTGTTTTTAATGTACTTTACAGGCGCTACACTATTTCAGATTAAGTAAATGCCAATCAGTAGTCAACAGATCTGGAAGTTCAGACAACTAGAGGCACATTTAAAATCATTGGTAATTTCATCTGATTTGTAATTCTAAAAAGCACGGCAAGCTTGTACGCACACATGAGCCATTTTGCAGATAAGCAGAGCATTGAATATGAGATTATTTAATAAAATAAAATGTAAACATTGTGTTGTCAAACTCAACTAAATTAACTTTAAAAGGCTTATTAATTCAGATTTTTTAAGTAAGATACTTCCACTGAATTTAACTCATATTAGTAACCCTTAATACTATTTACAGATACAGATCGTTCCAGTATGCTTATCTTATTCTTGTAAGTATGTATTGCATTTTTCCCCAAAAAGAAGACTAATACATACTTCTTGGGGGGAGGGGGAGTCACAATAGGTGAAAATGTATCCATTTTTAAAGCTGATATCTCAATCTTCAAAAGGAAAAAAGTCATAATGTAATCATTAAAATGTTAAAATAAGTTACTGAATTTTAAAACATACAATATGAATAACTTTCTTAAAATCTGTCTCACATAGAGTGGGAATTTAATTGATTTCACTTATTCAAACATTACTCTTCACCAGTTTCTATCAAACAAGGTGGAGACCAAGAGCTCCTTGCAACTCTCCCGTATGGCACTGCCAAGGAAGAAGTACAACCACAGGAGGGCGGGGAAACCATGCTGGCTCCACTTTGCTACATTCAAGGGATTGCCTTGCCCTCTTCTGCAAATTTTTACCTCTTACGACACGATTACACCACCTATTTTGATTATTTATCACTTTGACACAACTGTTCTTTATTAAAATAACACATATATGAAGCTACCTTAGAAATACTTGTTTCTTAAAACCAAAACATGAGCCAATATCGAACTGGTTTTGACGATGGAGTTTTAGAAAACTTTTTAAATCAACCAAATAATGGCAACCTTTGAAGGGTCACACCAGCATTCAATCAGAAATTAAGTCTCTTTAAACCAAATTCCTTCTTGAGCTACTGATTCTAGCAATCATCCCACTCCAGAATTTATGGGTGTTGGAGTAACAGCTAAAGACACTAACTTCAATTTTTTTCAAGTGTTTTCTCCCTGACAGGAATAAATGAATGTAAAATGACTTGCAGTTAACAAGAGAAGGAAGAAGCAAAATGAGAATGTATATTACGAAACGCCAGTGGTTTCATACTCAGAGAGTTGTAACATCTTCCCTAAATCTGTTTTGAGGTCCTAAAATTTAACTTTCTAAGTCCACCCTCATGCCCACCAAAAATATGAACTGTATCAAACATTTGACAGTATTTATAAATTCCAATCATCAGTTAGCCGTGGTCTCAAATTAATTTGATGTTGCACTTAAATAAGAAATAAAGGAGAGGGGAAGGGGAACAGGGATGGTATAGCCAAGACAACTAAGATTTCAACATATACTGTCTGTAAAACTAGTTTAAAACAAACACTATAGGTCATGTAACTTTTAGATGTAAGTGTAGCGTTGGAAAGAATGAAAATGTTACCTTTGCCAAGTAATTCCCAATGTATCCTCACCGGTACTGGGGTATAAATGCCTGCCGTTTTGATTCACGGTCCAGTCACAAATCCTCAGCTGTCAATTGAAACCTAGCAGTCAGATATGGGTCGAGCAGTACTACAGTTTTTAGTATTTAAATGAACACATGCAAACTAGTACTGTATATGGCATTAACCTTACTTTCCCAAGAGGCAACTTAAAATAAATAAATAAAAGCAAAAGAAAATCTTACTCTGAAAAGCAAAATTCCTAGACTTGTTTTTTTAGAAAAAAATTATTGCAATAGGCTTCTCTATTAATTAAAGCATTCAAGAGAAACAAGTGCTTAGAACATAACAATTAGCCATTATTAGAATACAAATCGAGCTGAAATAAAAGCAAATGTTAATGTTCAACAGAGAGACATATCTTAGAAAGAAAACAAAAATTGCTTCTTTTTCTATGCAACATACTAAATCATCTGCACTGAGTAAAATAATCAATAACTTTAAGCATGCAGTTGCAAAACAGAAGACATGCAGTTCAGAGGAGAAAGGCCCCGTCCTACGCCTACGGACAATCACCCTCACTGTGTAGGCAGGCGTCAGGCACTCAGCTCTAGATGTGTCCTAGTTTTGTTTGACTTAAAATGACATTGTTTAGAAGGAGGTGATAAGCTTTTGTATTTTTTTTTTAAATTCAGAGTAATGGTATTTAAAATACTTCACTACATCTGAAGATAGCAAGGAATGTACTAAGCACAAGCTGCAACGAGCTCTCCCCAGGTCCTGGAGTCATGAGCGCTGCCCTCCGGAGCTCCTCCAAGTAACCCTATCCAGCCCCGTTTGGCTAGCAGCTGCCCTTCCGTGCTAGCAGATTTATTGAAAAGATATATTGCTTATTTTTATGCTTAAGAAAGTAAACCTATCTGGCTTTGGGGGGAAAACACGTTAGAAAGTCATGGTGTTTAACCTCTAGCTGGCCGGGCTGTGAATTACTGCATGCTGCACCACACACGCCTCCTCCCACTGCTGCCCGCAGCCTGGCGGGTCCGCAGGGAGCCGCACTCTGAGGCGATGGGCGCAGCCCGCCACCTCTCCTCTCCTCTCCTCATCAGCCGTCTCAACCTGCCCTGACAGCACTGCAGCCTGAAAATCCCTGCTCATCAGGAATCTTTATTTTTTCTTTCAGCCTCTCAAGTGTCTGCACTTTGTGTAAGTAACAATGATCTGGAGTCTCAGAATGAGTTTCTTACTCATTTTTGCACACATCTATAAGACTCCAAAAACGTAATCTAAAACTTTCCAAATGTGTTTTAATTATACTGATAAACAATGGATTTTATGAAGAACTAAAAATGATAAACAGACAAGCATATGGACTGATAGCCATGTAAGTTCCGTGCAGGATACATGTCATAAAGATCACGGATCAACAGATAAAGCAGACAGAAAAATAAGCGCTCTTCAAACAGACGCTAATACTTGCACAAAAAAAAATCTTAGCAGTCTTAAATCAAACCTACTTTTATATTTCAAAGATGTAATTTGTTCAGATTAGAGTATAAGAAGCTATATGATAAGATTATTTTAATACTCTCAAAGTGGGTCATACAAACAAAAAATTCAGTATGATAAGTTGTTTCAACAATGACAGAATAAACCATTCGTCTACTTCAAACTACAGGTGCTAAAGGGGCTCTGGGACCTAAAATAGTTCAAGAAACCTGACTCTGCACAAGGGCTACCTTAACACCACTCACTCATTTGCTTTTCAGCATGGAAGACATGAGTCTGCAATTAGCAGCCCTCTCAAGAAGAGTGGAGGTCCGCCCAGGCAGAGCACATCTTCACTCCGGAAGTGACTAGCTTCCAGCTAGTTTCTATGATCCCCTCAAGCTGAGCCTGGAGGAGCTCTAGACAGTGAGCACCTGTTCACAAAACGAGACTCTCAGGTGTCGCTGGCGTGCTGTCTCACAGGAGGGCCGGGACCCCGCTTCCTGTTGGGGGATGTTGCTTGAGTTGGCTAGCTGGCTCTTCCCCTGCTCAGTTTTTGTCCCTTGCTTTGTTTTACCCTAAAAGGGTCAATGGGGCTGTCATTGGCCAGGTGCTAAGCACTTAGAAATCACTATATTTTAGGACATTTTTCTCTCCTAAATTTTGTCTCAAAGGGGTTAGAAATGACTAGCACTACTCTTCCCCACTGCACTCTAAGAGACCGTAACAGAACTTTCCGTATCAGAAAAATATGCCTACATACATATGAAATAATCAATAAATATATCTGGCAATAACTAATGCTAAATAAGTTGCTAGAATATCAATTAGTATTGAACTAATTCCTTTCAGTTACCAAAATTATCAATATACGTTAATTGCCCTCTTTAGACTGGGGACCAGCATTAACATCGTCAAGTTCCTGAGGAGAGATGCTCACGCAGCAGGTGCCTGCATGTGCTCCCCTCAGCCAGGTTACCTGGGCAACAGCCTCTCTCCCTGATCTTTACACAGAGTTTTGTGTAAAGCATCTCTGTGTTAAAGAACCACCTAGGAAGTGAAATCTTAAAGGACATAGCATGGGTCAGGGAAAGAAAGAATTAAAATGAAAATCATCTACTCACAACTCCACACAGTCATTTCTAACAAAATCAAGTCTAGTCTAGAGTAAGAGCTTGCACTGTAGTCTTGGAAAGCAGAGGCAGGAAAAGCAAAACTTTAAGCCCAGTCTGGGCAACTAAGTGACTTAGTGAGAAGCTGGCTTTAAAATAACTTGGGGAGGGGATGCAGAAGCCTTTGTTCAGTTCCTATTACTACAAAGACAAAAAGGAGGGAGAGAGAGACAGAGAGGCGGTGGGAGTGGGAGGGAAGGAGGGAGGGAGGGAGGGGTAGGAACAAGAGGAAAGAGGGAGAGGGACAGGAGAGGGAGGGAGGAGAGGGAGGGAAGGGAAGAGGGAGGAGGTTGAGAGGGGAAGAGCAGAGGGAGGGAGAGGGCAGGGGCAAGAGGGGAGAAGGGGAGGGTCAGAGGGAAGGAGAGAGAAAGGAGGCAGGGAGAGGGAGGGGAGGCACAGGCAGAGGAGGCAGGGATGAAGGGGGAGAGGGAAAAAGAGGATGAGGGGGACAGAGAGGAATCAATTTACTTAAATCAAGAGATAGGAGAAGGAGAGGGGGAGGGGAGGGAAAGTAAGAAGAATCAAGCTGCGTTGTGGACTCCTGCCAACCCTGCAGTAAGTCTAACGCTCATGTGCTGCAAACATGTACTGATACAAATTTTAAAAATTAGGGGCCGGGGAGATGGCTCAGTGGAATATGCACTTCCCTGGCAAGCACAAGGGCCTGAGTTCAATCCCCGGTTCCACCAAAAAAAAAAGTAAGTGCAAGATCCTGAGTTCAATCCCTGGTACTACCAAAAAAATATAAAAAAATTAAAACAAAAAAAAAAAAAACTAGGGATGTGTTCAGTGCCTTGTGACTGTGACTCAGCACTCCTAACTGAAAACAAGTCTACATTACTATTTAAGCAAGAGTTAAATAATAGATGATCTTTTTTTTTTCTTTTTTGAGTTTAGGATATTGATTCTTCAGCTTCTGCCATAATTCATCACAGTTTCATTTTCCAATTTTTATTTACAGTTAAATTTTAAAATTTTGTTTTGAGACAGGATCCTGCTACGTAGTTCAGGCTGGTCCCAAACTCTCTGCAGTCTTCCTGCCTCAGCCTCCTGAGTGCTAGGATTACAAATGTTCACAAGCACACCCAGTTTAAAAAACTTTGTGATAAATACATGCCTTTTGTTTACATGTTCTTAAATGTAAAGCACTAATGGCACTCTAAATTTTCCAAGAATTTTTTCCTTAAAAAATAGGAAGTCAGGGCTAGCCAAATAGCTTAGCAGACTAAAGCGCCTGCTTAGACAGCCACAGGGACTGGGGTTAGAGCCCTTGTGTGCTGTGCCCGCCCTCACCAGCACTTGCCCAGACCATGCTTAAGACTGGGCGTGGTGGTATGTGCCTGTGATCACTGCGCTTGGGAGGCTGAAACAGGAGGATTACTATGAGCCCAATCTGCGCAGTGAGACCCAGTAGTCCCTGTACTGAAATACATTTTTTTAAAAAAATAGGTCATATTCCATAATAAACAAATTTAAAAAACAGCAAGCACAAATTCGCTGAGACAGTGAAAATCGTTCAGTTTGCATGTTGGAGCAAATTGTCTTTTTTTTTGGCGGAACCAGGGATTGAACTCAGGACTGCTTCTTCTACTGAGCTATCTCCCCAGCCCCTGCAAATCGTATTTTTGTAACACACACTGTAAACCTGTATGGCTCATATGCAAATCTTTATGAAAATGTCCGTTTATGGACATCTTCTGAGGAGTAAGCCCATGGGCACCCTTCCACTCAATCTCACTCCCATCCCTCTTATGTTGAGATAGGGTCTGGCTATATTACCCAAGCTGGGCTTGAATGTGGAATCTGCCTGCCTCAGCCTCTAGCATGTCTGAGATTATAGGCAGGAGACACCACTCCAGACTTCGTATACATCACTTTAATTCATTCATTCATATGTACCTATTAATATGAAATTAGACTGACTTGAAAACTAAGGTAAGAAATGTGCTAAAATAATGATGCTGGCTTTCAGAAGTTGAGGAAACAGAATGCTCCCAAAAAGTTATCAGTAAAGAGATGAGGCGACATAGGCCAAAGTACTAACAAAGCAGTGGAAGGGATGTCTACACGGCACTTGTTCTTTGGGTGGATCTCAAATGAGATGGCACCAGCCACACAAGACGGGGGCCATCTGGTTTCCCACCAAAATATGCACAAGGAGAAATCTCCAAGATACTGCAACTCAAATAATCATGTCAGTAGCTTGCCGCCATAAGGAATCAATAGTCAATATTGCTTGTGGTTTCGGAATAAGAGTTTGTTTATTCACATTAGAGCCTTTGATTGTTATTAACGGGCTTTTGTTAAATACACAGCAATCAGCTTTGGGACGAAGGTAAGCAAAATGCCCTGCTTGGCTGGATCGCACACAGGCTGGTCCGCTGGCAGCCCCTCCTGCGGACACAGCTCTTCACTGACCCAGTACAGA